TTATTCAATTTGAATGAATTTTTTTTTAATTTGTAGATTCTATTGAGATTTACAAAATAAAAAAAAAATTATTCAAATTGGATTGCTAGATGGCTGGCAGATTTAATTTTTATTCACAAAATCAACATAGCCTCGGAACCTCATTTTGTTAGCAAAGATCCCATATAGTCACTCTTAATAGTCACAACCTTGATATAACCACACGCTATTATAAAACATAAAATTTGACCACTTTATAATTACCAGATTGTTTCCAATAAAATATTTTTTAAATATTTTTTTAAAATTCTAATATGTATATATTACAATAAAATTAATTATTATATACTATATATATATATATATATATTATATATATTATAATTTATAAATCTAGTTAAAAACTAATTTTTAAAAATACCAGATTTCAAAACCAGATTTCAATATTCTAACCTAAAATTTCTACCATCCTTATTTATTATATAGTCAGCATTATAGTTTAGGTTTATTAAACATGTAATATTAACAAATCTCGATATTATGCAGTCCTTACAAGTAAGGCATATAAAAATAGTCATTTTTAAAGAAACAAATATACACGAATGAAAACATTTAAAAAAATATTTACAAGAAAGTTAAATTTATTTAGTCGAGTTTAGTCGACAAATTATCATCCTGGTCTTCTTTTAAGAATTCCTCAAAATCATGTACAAATTCTTCATCTTCAAAGTCGTCATCCTCTCCTTCGTCGTCACTTTGATTTCCAGCATCATAATCATAGCCATCTTCGTATTCTTGTTCATCGTCTACTTGATCTTCAGAGTGCTGGTAATAATTTTCTGAAAATGGATCAAAGTATGTGATAGGCTCTTCATCCGTGCCAAGCACTCGAACATTTATATTAGGGTCATCATCATCATCATCATCATCGAATGTTATAGAATGTCGAAGCGGGGAATGTTTAAGACGCTTAGCATGTCGTTCGTAAATATTTGATTCATCACTATTCCGTTTTAGCTTTATACGTCCGTTGCTAAAAGAAGTTGAAAATTAATATGAAATAATAAACAAACAGTTTTAAAAACCCAGATATAAAACCTTTCAGTTCCACTTTCAGTCTCGCTTTCGTCTAAAGCACTTGTATCACCCCATTCACCAATTTCTTCATCGACCTCGCGTAAGACAGATTTCCAATCAGTCGATAAGAAATGTTCTTGACGTTCCTGTGGGCTTAGTAATTCTTCATCGTCAGTAATTTCATTAACCGATGGTGTTTCAACGATTAAATCAGGAGGTTTCTCTATTTCGGACACTTGACCTGATTCCGATTCTCGTATAGAGGTGTCAAAAAAATAATCACGTTCTGGTTGTCTTTCCCATTTTTTTATAGAATCATCCAGCCTATCAAATATGCAATAATTTTGAGATACATAAACACAAAAAAGAAACTATTCATTTAAAATATTTAGATTACGTGCCATTCTTTGCGTACAATAAAGATATTGCCTTTTCGAATTGCTTCTCTTACTTTCTCTGTTCCACGCTATATATTTATACAAGAATAATTGATTTTTTTTTCTATGTTAAAGAAATTAAAATATATATATAAATAAATAAAATAAATTAAAATAAATTAAAATATAAAACTTACATCACCTGCCACCAAATGGGTGACTTTACTATTCCAACCGTCAGAACACTCTGCACCAAATTCCTTGGCCAAAATCCATATTTCAGCACTGGATTTCAATTAGAATAATGATAAATAATCGTAACATCTCAAAAATTACATAAAAATGGATATAAAATATTGAATAAATAAACCTTTCTTTCTTTTGGCTAGTTGGAATAACATGTGTAAACAATATATTAACACCTTTCAAAACTTCAGCTTTCATACTAGGTACTAGCACAGTTACATCTGGCATCCTTGATTTCACATTCGTTTGTAAATCATTTTGCATTTGATCGTACTCTTCGTAATATCGTTTGTAGATCGTTTTCAAAGCCTGATGATTATAAATGATGAATTAAAAATATGGATATGTATATTATACTATTTTCTTTAATAAGTAACAAAGAAAATACCTTCAATAAATTGGGCAATTCTGTATCATTGTCAACAGGAACAGGTTTTACACTTTCAATGATTTGATTTGACTTTAATTGATGATCGCGAGTTTGGTTATTAATATTTTCATCATGCTCTATTTGTTGTTTTTTAAATATTTTTTCGTCAGAATTCGCAGAATCTTCGGAAATTTCTGCCAAAAATTATGTGAAAATCAGATCAAATTACGATTAATGGATAAAAATTGAATCATATAATCATACCTTCGTAAGTTCTTTTGCTATTTTGTAATGACTTTTGCATTGTAGTAGTTAATGTATTATTCGAAGTATTCTCAACTTTTTGCTTAAGAGGTTCTTTAGAAGTTTTATCATCAGACGTTTTCTCATCAGATGTTTTCTCATTATACGTTTTCTCATTAAATGTTTTCTCATCAGATGTTTTCTCGTTAGACGTTTTCTCGCCAGACGTTTTCTCGTCAGACGTTTTCTCATCAGACGCAGACGTTTTCTCATCAGACGTTTTCTCGTCAGACGTTTTCTCATCAGACGTTTTCTCATCAGACGCTTTCTCATCAGACGCTTTCTCATCGGGCGCTTTCTCATCAGACGCTTTCTCATCAGACGCTTTCTCATCAGACGCTTTCTCGTCAGACGCTTTCTCGTCAGACGCTTCTTCGTCAGACGCTTTCTCGTCAGACGCTTTCTCGTCAGACGCTTTCTCGTCAGACGTTTTCTCAGACGCTTTCTCGTCAGACGTTTTCTTGTAAGACGTTTTCTCTTTAGACATTTTCTCGTCAAAGCGGGCAGAACGGGTATCATTGATGTCACCAATTCCCACAAAAAAATCATCTATATATAACTACAATTAGTCAAAATTACCTCAGAATGTGGATTAAAGAATCCTAATTTGTTCAAAAAATAGAAACTTACAAGGGTGAACTTTTATAAGATTAGGCGACCAACCCCAAACGTCAGCCCGATCATCAATTGCAACGACCATTGAGTCATCACAAGGAAATAAACGTCGTATATTTTTCCGAGTTATATCTAATATATTATGAAAGATGTCCATAAAATATAATAATAACTAATTTAAACTTTTGAAATAAAACTGCTTACTTCCACTTTCATCGCGTGATAATATTCGTTCATTGAATATTGTATGATCCGGATCAATTATCTCAGCTACGGAGGACGCATAATTACGCGTTCCCATGGTATATATATGAGGTTCATAAAACTCTGATACATCTTCTAAAAATTCTTTAAGACCCGGTCTGAAGGTGTAAATGAAAAAAATTACTCATTAAAAATTTAGTATAATATGAAAAAATGAAAAATGTAAATATAAAAGGTAAAGTTAGGATAAAATCAAAAAAAAAGAGTACCTTAACTTGATATAATAAACAGTTGGACTATCAGATAGAACAAATTTGTGAATGTCCTTAGTTGTGGGATGATTAATGTTATTTTCATCATTAATCCACTCCTCCACCATTTGATCCACGGTTGCGTGAATTAGAGTTTGATCTAAATCTACTATTAGAGACAACTTTCGCGATTTCAATAATCTATTCGCTGTTTCTTTCTCTAATCTCTCAGCCTCATTGAGGCTAACAGTTAATCCAGCAACATTATGAGCCATACTAATAGTAGCTCTCTGGGAATAATCAACACCAGTAAAATCTGTTTTCATCATATCATTACCACATAATGCACACAGGCCACGAATCTGAATTGAGTGAACGCACGGCTCTTTCACACCAATCACAGCCTTGTCACTAAAAATGTGTAAATAATGATATTACATAATGAAAGATGTTATATAACAAAAATTTATTCTTACTCAGTATCGAATATACGCTGGCCTTCTCTGACAAAAATTTGCTCAATTTCACCTTCAGTGGGACTCTTAAATTCTTCGATAAAGGGTGTATCTACCATAAGTTGAATCTGTTCTTTTGTTTCTGGATCAATTGTTTCTTTCTTAGATTTTTTTACATATTCGTATCTAAGTAGCGATTGAGTTTTCTCGATTCTATCACCGGGTTTAACCAGTATGTTACAAATAGTTGCAGGCAAATGTTCTTTTGGGATTTTTATCAAATATAGTTCTTGCTGCATTTCTACGGACATAAGCACACGAAAATTATTTGACGTTTACGGGGTTAAGCGTTTCAAATCACGAGACGATCGATAAATAACAGTATGTATCGGGTATATTCAAACGATTCACGTGCTATGGCTAGTTCTAATAAAAACTTAAGGCGGGAAGTTATCGTTATTACCAAAATGTTTTTTTTGCCAGAATGGTTATGGTAATCTACATACGTACTGACTGTATTTATTATCTAGATTTATTACCATAGATGTTCCACAACCTTCTAATTCACCAATCTGAATTTCCGAATCTAAAAATTT